TAATATCTCTGACTCAATGGACACGAGTTTGAGAAAACTCTGGGAGATAGTAAAAGACAGCAAAGCCTGGCATGCTGTAGTCCATGGTGTCACAGAGCTGGATACAACTTAGCGACTGAATGATAACAACATTATTTACTAGAGGACATGCCACTGATTCATTGCAGGTAACTGCTATAAGCACAGTTATAAAATGTGCAGTAATTGTGACTATAATCTATATTCTTTATTAGTCAATATATGAACAGTTTGAATTTTTATAGTCCTGATATTTTGATGCAGAGTTTGACCTCTATGAATTGTTAGATTCAATCATAAAATCACATAAAATTAAGTATGTACAGAATTACTTACTGAGGTCAGAATGATCATAATTCAAAATCTGAAAGAAATTAAATTTCATATTGACTATCTCCTAACTTTGTTTTATTTTTAATGCAGGAAGAGATATTTCTCATAATACCTTCAAAAAATGGTATCAACTTTTTTTTTCAAAAGTATGCTCTGAATATATATTTCCTGTAACGTGCATACTGAAGTAATATAAGCCATCACTTTTCAGATACATCTCATTTCTTCCTCCTCCTGATCAGGTGACACCAAGTTGTTAAAATTTTTGTATTATAGTTACTGGCTCATTTTTTTTTTGCAGACTGTCATACAACAATGCAAAGAGAAACATACCAACTTTTACCACTTGAGGTAATAGTACCTCAATGAAAAAGACAAGTATATAGTATGACAGTGATGACAACAGTTTACAATAAAAATGTAACTGTCATTTATCAATAAATATAAAGACAATGAATTTTAATTATAAAAATACTTCCAAGTAGGCATGGAAAACCTTTTGCATAAATACCAGATTTTAAGTAAAAAGGGTTTCACTTTTCTAAGCTGAAGCTCTAAGTCAAGTATCTATCAGATGTCATGGTTGTCTAGTCACTGAGTTATGTCCAACTCCAACTCCTTGTGACCCCATGGACTGCAGCACACCACGCTCCTCTGTCCTCCATTATCTCCCAGAGTTTGCTCAACTTCATGTCCATTGAGTCAGTGATGCTAGCTAGCCATCTCATCTTGTGCCATCCCTTTCTCCTTTTGCCCTCAATCTTTCCCAGAATTAGGGTCTTTTCCAATGAATTGGCTTGTCTCATCAGGTAGCTGGAGTATTGGTGCTTACACTTCAGCATCAGTCCTTCCAATGAATAGTCAGTGTTGATTTCCTTTAGGATTGACTGGTTTGATCTCCTTGTGGTCAAGTGACTCTCAGGGATCTTCTCTACGACCACAATTTGAAAGCATCAATTCTTCAGCTCTCACCCTTCCTTACAGTGCAAATCTCACATATGTACATGACCATCTATTATTCACTGGATAATTCAAAGGCAAAAACATACTGGCAACTCATAAACAATAATATGAATGAAATTAAATAATAAATCTTGCACTGTCAAAGATACCATATTCAAAAGCATGGGGAAACCTCTCTTAGAGGATAATTATATATTCTTGATAAAACAAAATAAAATAAAAAACAAACTGCACAAAGGCAAGGCCACCTTATGCAGGAGTTGAAACTTGGAAGAAGGCAAAGATGAATTTCTGAATTTGAGAGCTTTGGCCCAAGGGATTGGTGTGAGGCAAAAAGGGGCTTGAAGGCTGAAAATTCAATAAAGATTCCATCATCATTCTGGCCTAAGAAATCAGTTGACAGAGCAAGGGTCAACCCTTTCAACAAAAATCTGAGAAAGGAATCCTAGAAACAGGGAACTCTAATTTTTCTGTTTAAATTTTGCCAGTTCACTAGCTGAACCCTAAACCTCATATTATATCATTCATGCTGGCAAACTAAATCTCAAAAAATTGAACTAAGATTTGAACTGCCATCCACCACAAATGAACAAGAGTTTGCAAATTTTACCTTACTAAGTTCCTACTCAACACAGTTATTACCACCCTCTGAGAGAACACACAAAATCCATAGTCTACAGTCTATAACATCACAATGTCCAGGATACAATGTGAAATGACTTGATCATGCAGAACCAGGGGAAACATAATTAACAGACATAATCCACATGTTGAAAACATTAGTCAAAAACTTGAATGCAGCTATATATATATATATATATATATATACACTCACACAATCGAGTAAAGGAAATACCCTTAGAAAAAATGAAAAGAAATACTAGCAGAAAAAGAAACTATTTTTAAAAAGAGAGAAATATGTGAGTGTGTGTGTGCACTCAGTCCTGTCTGACTTCTTGCAACCCCATGGACTGTGTAGTCTGTCAGACTCTTCCGTCCATGAAATTTTACAGGCAAGAATACTGGAATGGGTTGCCATTTTCTACTCCAGGTGACCTCCTAAAAAGAAACTATTTTTAAAGAGAGGTAAACATAGAATTCATAATTGTAAAATACGATGTCTATAGTCAAACCTTCACCGAGGGCTGCTGGTTTCAGCTACAACACCAAATGGGTTTGGAAGTCATCACTCCTGTGCTCATAAGAAGAAACTGGACAAACTGAAGGTCAACAATGTTTCTTTGACCTACGAGAGAAACAAGTCATGGGACAAATTGCCATGCTGAAAACTGAAGAGATGGAGCATCCAGAGTGTTACAGCAGGCACAATCTGTTTACCTGGAATAGAAGTCCCTGGTGCCATGAATTAGCATGAACACTGAAATGTTTGATAAATTTCTAATAGCGATAAATTCCTGGAGACTAAGCACGAACTGGTATAAAAGTGAACACATCCTGAGGGTTGCTTCCGTTGAGGGTCCCATTCTTCTATGGGTGTTCTTTCTAAGAATTTTACTACATTCTTAATATGAGGATCTGTGAAATATTTGCTCATGTATCTGGCAGAGAAAAAGGGGTAACCATTGTGAAACATGCCCAGATCCTTCTCCATCATAACTAAGAACTACTTTCTTTGCAAGAATGAAATTCTGGAACAACACATTTGGTGTGCATTAGTTAGCATTCTCCAGAGAAACAAAAGCAATAAGAGAAGAATGCATACTGTCTTCAGTATCCCAAAAGTGCAAAACATTGTTGGATCTAATTTTGATTTTATGAGGCTGAAAAGAAAACTGTTTTCTGATGCATGCCAGTTGAATTGAATCTTGTGAACAGGCTCAAGAAACTTTCTTTCATAAATACAACCCTAAATGCTGTGAGAATTTATCATCCACTCTCCTGAAAGAAATGTCATAATATCTTAGTCAGGAACTTTGAAACCGAGGATTTTGTTTTGAAACAAAACAACCACCAAAACTTTGAACATTAGAGAGTAAAAACACTTGCTTTAAATCCTGCCCACCTGTTATAAACAATCGAGAAGTTGATGAGTTAAAATACTGCTGTGGAATATTTCCCTTAGTACTTCTGTACATGGGACTCGGTCTGATAGAATCACTTCGTACTTATGGCATATGGAAGTACAATTATTTAATAAATCAATTGCTAATATGCATTTAAACATGGAAACCACAAAAAAAAAAAGTACACTGATTTGCCCAAAGGATTCCAAACATAAGGTCATTTTAACTTATTTCCTCTTTGTGAACTTTACTCAAATTTCATCAGTAGACTATGGGAGGATCCTTCTTTTGTGGGTCTGGGTAGGATGATAACTTGAGTACCTGTATCAGCAGAGTAATAACAATTTGGCCCTCTCATGTCCCTGAAGTTTCCCAGGTCAGTGGAAGAGATGGATATGACTTTTACTCTCCTCTGGGGATAGGAAGTGTTTAATGCTACCCCTAAGAAAGCAGCTTCCTTTGTGGCTCAGCTGATAAAGAATCTGCCTGCAATGGGGAAGACCTAGGTTCAATACCTTGATTGGGAAGATCCCCTGGAGAAGGAATAGGATACCCACTCCAGTATTCTGGCCTGGAGAATTCCATGGATTGTATAGTCCATGGGGTTGCAAAGAGTTGGACATGACTAAGTGACTTTCACTCACTCAAGAAAGCAGCTGACGTGAGAATTTGGGTGGGTGAAAGGAAAGTGTGACTTCACGTCTGTCAACAATATTTTGCATTCAATTTAAGTTTTGAGCAGCTCTTACTCATAAATAAGCAAACACACTTCTATTAATAATATTTTAACCCACTCAAACTCTGTATCATTGCTGACACTATTTGTTTTAGTTTTGCGGATTCTTTGGCTCAGTCAGCAGCCACATCGCCTTGGGATGGGGAAACGCACTGTCTGTGACAGCGGAGTTTGCTGCCCTGTGGTCATCATAACATCTCTTGTTTGGCTTTTGAAAAACTGATGTGTCCTTGGAAAAGCTCATTCGGTTTTACCTCTCAAAGTACAGTCTTTATACTCTAATTCAACTCTAGTTCATTAACCCATAGGACTGTAGAGATACTCTACCTAATCACCCAACATCTGGATGATAGCATTTATGACAAGTGATTACAATGATACCTGTGATGATGACTGACCCGGGCAGAGGCCCTGAGCTTGCTAGTGTAGGAGATCAAGGAAGGCTTCCCAAAGGCAGCACCATTTCAGCTGAGACCTGAAAGGTAAGCTGAAGGATGGAATCGTCCGGCTGAACACAAGGCCACAAACTCAAACACACACAAGGGGAAACCATGATGAGCAAGCTAACGAGTGAGGCAGGCTAGGGCTAAGAAGGATTTTTTTTCTTTCAATTCCTCTAAAAGAGAAAAAATGATGCCAAGTCTACCAACACATGACTGGTGATGTTCAATGTGGCTTAACTCTAGGAAATCTCATTTCCCTTGAATCTGGAATGTAGAATCTTTGCCCTTTCACTTTCAGAAAGCAATATCTCTGAGATCAATTCCTCTTTGATGACAAAACTGTCAAGAACTGTTAAGGATCAGAGATTTACTACACTCGTCACACTTTTAAGGTAACAAGCCTGCCGTAGTTCTGTGGAGACTGGTCGAAGACACAGGTGCTCTTGGGTCAGAGATAAAATACTTTATTACTCACAGTATGTCAAGCACCGTAGCTGAATTTGAATCAGTTCTCCGCCCTCCGTCCCAGTGGGGCTATTCAGCTATTCTTATGGCTGTTTGCATATGCAGCATATTGAGATCAAGGACAGGAACCCTGAGCTAAGAAACACAAATGTTTTATAATGAGCAGTAAGCATGATTCACCACTGTCCTGGATGCAGACACTATCTCTGTCTTCCAAAATTTTTCTCTATGCTACCAACCTTGAAAGGATAGTCCTACAAAATTATAATTAGTTGCACTGTTCACAAGACACAGAAATTGGAATTTTTTTGCTGATGATAAATATCTGTGCAAACATTTATAAGTATAAAAATTACTTTCTCTCCTAATTTCTTTAAAATATAAGTATGCAAGCAAACATTATAATATTATCCTAATTTTGCAACAAACATAGTATTATCTTGTATTTTGCATATGACTATCTCATCAGAGAAAAATTTGGAAGTCATTAAACAGGCCTGTATGATTACAAATTGTCTAATTTTAAGTTAACACTAAGTAGACTAAGCATATTGTAATACCTGGGACAAATATTAATACAAAAACACAAATAACTAAAGCAATAAATCCAACAGGTAAATAAAAGATACCTAAAAAATATTTAAATAATATAAATGAAGACAGGAAAAGAATAGTAGAACACAGAACAGATGGGAGAAAAACAGAAAACAGATTACAGATTGGTAGATACAAATGTATGCAAATTAAACTATATTAATTTTAATAGACTAAATATTGTAATCCAGAGATAAACAGAACTGAAGAGTGGAAGGGGGGTTGCCAGTGGTAGGAGAAATGGGGAGATGAGTTAATCAATGAGCATAAAATTTCAGTTAAGCAAAATGAATCAACTTAGAGGGAAGGTGGAAGAGACCATTATAAGTTTTCCATTTACCTTCTCATTGTATTATTTACTGTCTAGACTTAACAGATGGAGAATAATATTAAAAGTGTACAGAGTATGTGCCTATTACATTGTGCACAGCTGAAAAGAAAAAAAAAAACACATAGAACCAATTCTTCTAGTATTGAAAACAATCCCTAAAGCAAAGTCACTTAAGGTATTCAAGAGAAAATGAGTAACATCCCAATATATATCTTTGTTGTTTTGTACACAGAAACATATGATGTTTTGTACATGCAGTATGTATCTTTCTGTGTGTACATCACTTATGTACACATGTATGTGAAAATTATATGAAAAATTAACATATATTCATTATAAAAATATTCAGAAAACTAGAATAGAAAGAAACTTGTTTTCTTCTTGGGCTTCCCTGATAGCTCAGTTGGTAAAGAAGCCACTTGCAATGCAGGAGACCCCGGTTTGATTCCTGGGTCAGGAAGATCCCCTGGAGAAGGGAAAGGCTATCCACTCCAGTGTTTTTGGGTTTCCCTTGAGGCTCAGTGAAGAATCTGCCTGCAATGTGGGAGACCTGGGTTTGATCCCTGGGTTGGGAAGATCACCTGAAAAAGGGAAAGGCTACACACTCCATTAATCTGGCCTAGGGAATTTTCTTATTACATGGCAAGTATGAAAAATCTACTTACCTGAATGCAGCACCTTATAGTCATGTTGATGTTTGGCAGAAGCCAACAGAATTCTGTAAAACAATTATTCTTCAAATAAAAAACAAATTAATTTAAAAATCTACTTACATAATACTTAATACTGAAATGTTGAATGCTTTCATCTAGACATCAGAAATAGACCAATACTTCTTAATCTTACCAATTCTAGTCAATGCTTTTCTAGAAGTTCTAGCCGTTGGATTATGGCAAAATAAGGAATAAAAATACTAGAAGTGCACTAACTCCAGATATAGGTTAAATGATTGCTATCAGAAAACTATAAGAAATCTGAAAAATATATACTAGAACTAATTTAAAAAATAGTAAGATTTTAGAATACAAGAAAATACACAAAAATCAACAAATGTTTTATAAAGCAATAATAATAGGAAAATAAAATTGAAAAATAAATTTACAACAGAATCAATAGAATTACAATAGAATCAAAAATATCATGCACATATAAAAAAGGCTAAAAAGTAGATTAAAAATCTGTACAATGAAAATCACAATACTGAGACAAAAACATCTAAATAAATAAATAAACCATATTCTTGAGTTGGAAGACTCAAAACTGTTAAGATATCAACTCTCAAAAAACTGATTTATAGCTTAAATATAATTTGAAAAATACCAGTGGCATCTTGGAGAAATTCCCAAGATATAGATAATATTTAAATGGAAATATAAATGAGGTTGAATAGCTGAAGCATTTTTTAAAAGAACTAAGAATAATTAAATTATCTTACTCTACAATTAGTGTAACTACTTTAATATACACAATGGGATATTGGCATAACAGTACACATTATTGATCAACAGAACTGAATAGCTATTCCAGAAACAGAGCCATAATGTATAGTCAAATGATTTTCTACATATGTTTTAAGGCAATTCATAGATGAAAGGAAACTTTTTTCAATAATCGGTACTGGAAACAAAGCTAAATATTTATGGGGCGAAACTTCACTAATCTCTCTCAAACACTATACACAAAATTAACTAAAAAAAGGAATTATCTACTATCAGTTAAGTCACTCTCATTGTGAAAAGAAGAATATAAAGAGAGGCAGAAAATGAATGGAACTTTCTTCAGGGCATGTGGTCTTTAAATAAAGTTGCCACTGGATGTTTTAAGGTAAAACTAGCAAGAAGAGGGAATAGTAGTTTCTAGCACAAAGCCTCAGATATATTAAACAGTCTCTGTTCAGCAACTATTATTGCTGTTATGGTTTAGTTAGGATAGAAGATGTGTAATAAATAAAATATCTTGCTTTCAATGATTTAATAAAATGAATGTATTTTCTCACCCGCATTAGGTTGGTTGTATTCCTCATTTGAGTTAACAGCTGTCAGGAACTTGTGGCTTTCAGTCACTATGTCTGGGGAGGGAAGACATGAGGTGACTGAAGGGCCAGAAAGGAAACATGCTTACATATCTCTGCCTACTTGGCCTTGGCAGAGACTCAGTCACACGGCAAGCCTAATTTTAGGGAGGATGCGAAATAAAGATGAACATAGGATCTCTGTTAATAACTTTTGGTTCCTCCTTCATTTTCATTATCACATTTAGGAATAATCCTGTAAATTTAGTGAATCCTAGGTGTGTAAGGGTCTACTCTCTATTGTAAATATTTATCAGGTACCGTGATAGAGAAAAATAATATTTGCCTTCTGAACCTGTTTTGAAGACAATATAGCATATTATAAACAACATACTTTTATGCATAGTAGCTACATAGTAGCATTATTATTGCTGTTATTTAAAAACGGTTTAAAGATATGCATACCTACTGTTTAAATATAAATATTGCATCTGACAAAGTACTGAAAAATTCAATGACTATCATGAGTATAATAGATAACCAACATGCTTTTACTCTTTCGTTTAGAATGTCTCAATAATGTCCGCTACTGCAAATATCTAGATTCCACACTACAAAGTTATGATATTTTTACCATATAATGGCTCACCTTTATGAAAAAAAGTAGAATGGAGAAAACTTAATATGAAAAGTAAAGTGTCAGCATTTTCTTTTCAAAAGTTTCTCATAATAAAACAAATATTCTTTTCTGAGTCTTCACTCATAAGGAATGAAAATAATTCACTTTTAAAAGTAGTAAAAAACAACACATTAGGCATGAAAATTAAAAGATTCTTAAAGAAAAATCACTGTAAATAATTTAATGATATTTTTATTTTTCAACAAGCAATGAATTAAATAATATTAAACTGCAATACATTATTATTATTATTTGCCATATCATGTGGCATGCAGCATGTTAGTTCTCTGACCAAGGATTCAACCTATGCACCCTGCATTGGGAGCACAAAGTCTTAACCAGTGGAACTCCAGGGAAGCCCCATGTGATATGTGAATTTATATTGAACACTTAGCATTATTGTATACTTCTACTGTATATATTAACAAACAGAACCATATGGTATGTACAATTAAATTATAATCTTTGTGTACTACAGATATGTATTTCTGTAAATCATATATATATATATATACATTTTATTATATGTGATTAAATTTCAAAAGTATCATTAAGGAAAGGAGAAAAATCAAAGTTTTGATATTTAAAATATTTTCTTGTTGGGGGTAATTTAGCTTTAAAAAAATCCCTAAATTCAGATATGCAAAGACATGAAAAATATTTATGATATTGGATTTTCTAAAGATGTACCCAGGAAGGTAAAGGAGCCTAAAGTTATTAATTTTTGAACAGGATTGGTTTATGAAAGTGTTTTATAATATTTAAAGATAATTTTGATGGTGGGAGATCAGACTATTACACTCACATAAATGAAAAGGATCTCTTTGTTACTTGCAACTCTGAACAAGTGAAGGGTGCCAGGGCTTGCACCCAGAGGAGAGGGGAACAGCAAGCTGCAGCTGTATAGAACAGCTTATGTATAGTAGCCAGTGGAGTTAACTAGGTTTGTGGGTTTCCTATGGATTGGCTAATCTGGACAATTTTATGGGCTCCAGGACACAGGGCTTAGCCCTAATTCTGGCCCAGGGGGAGCAGAACTGGTGCACGGTGGCCCCATATATGGAAACCCATATATGGCCCCATATACAGAAACCACAGTGGCCCCACATATATAAACCCAATATATGGAAACCCAGTGGCCCCATATATGGATAGGTTTGGATGTGATTTTAATCAGTGAGCTGACCAAGATGCTGACTAGCCTCTAGCCAGGGCCTCAAAACTGAGTTAGAACAGCATTATAAAAACAAACAAAAAAAAACCCAAAACAAAACAAACAAAAAGAAAACCATGACAAAACAAAACACAGTATCTCACAGAGTGAGTATCACATGTATCTAATACATGAGGAAGCTCAGTAATGATTTCACCATTTTTGGTGAAATGTAATCAGGATCACTCTAAAATCAGTGGGATTTGTCCATTTTAAAAAATATCCATTTATTTATTTATTTGGCTTCACCGGATCTTTAGCTGTAGCATGTGGGGTCTTTTAAAAGAGCTGACATGAGGGAATGTTTAGGTGTGGCATGTAAACTCCTAGCTGAGGCATGTGGGATCCGGTTCCCTGAGCAGGGATTGAACCCGAGCCCCCCGAACTAGGAGTATAGCGTTTTAGCCACTGGAACACCAGGAAGTCCGAGGGTTTGGCGGTTCTATTTCTCCTACTTTTTTCATGAGAAAGGTCACCAAATGCTAGTTATACATTCTTCACTAAATTCTTGCTAGTTGTTTGCCTATCTGTGTTCCAAAGCAGAAGCGGTAAGAATTCATCTCATGGGTATTTTCATGAATTGCTGTCATAGTCTACCACATCCTGTGTACACCATCTACTTCCCAAATTTAATGTCTTCCTCTCCCATGTTTTAGCATCTACCTTGTTATGTATTTTCTAATTGATTGAAAAATATCATGAAATATATGTTAACTCCAACCACTTCAACTTTTTCCTTTAATTAAAAATTTTATCAGGATTATTAATCTTTCCTTGAATATATTTTCCCACAGTTTAACAAACTAAATTGTTTTTAATGATTATTCTTACTGATATATAGAATGAGTGAGTTATGTGCTTTAGTGACAAATAAAGCTCATGCATCTCAAAAAAAAAACTGTAACTCTACAACAAGAAGTATGTCTCCAATCTGTTTCAGACCACAGGCTCCAGGCCACAGGGCTTCTCCACTCCAGGAAAATGCAAAATCACTTTGTCTAGTTTCCTGTTAAAACTTTCTAAAATGTAACTACATATACAAACACATGCATTCTTTTTAACCTATACTTCCTACAGATATCAAAATACATCTCACTTTTTTATGCTTTATATATTACCCCATTATATTTTCACTACGAGAAAGTAGATCAATTTTCTAAAATTGTCTAACTATGTAGAATTTCTCATCTCAGATGTGCCATAACATAGACTGAACCAGATTTATCACCTATTGAGGAGAATGTAGATAGTTTCTAATCTTTTAAATATATTTATTTGCTTTTTTTGCTTGTATTTACTAGTGTTTTTATATATATATATAAAATTTATGTGTGTGTGTTTGTGTATGTATACATAAATATATACAGAGAGAGAAACAGTGGGAGAGAGAGAGAAACAGAAACAAAAGTTCTTTGTAGTTATCTGGGTGATACAACCCTGCCAATATATTGACTTTATTTCTTCTAGTCTAAATGCCAAATGATATTCAGTTTCAAATTTAAAACTACCATATGACCTAGCAATCGCACTACTGGGCATATACCCTGGGAAAACCAGAACTGAAAAAGACACATGTACTCTGATGCTCACAGCAGTGCTCTTTACAATAGCTAGGACATGGAAGCAACATAGATGTCCATCGACAGATGAATGGATAAAGAAACTGTGGTACATATATATACAATGGAATATTACTCAGCCATAAAAAGGAATCCTTTTGAGTCAGTTCTAGTGAGGTGTATGAACACAGAGTCTATTACACAGAGTGAAGTAACTCAAAAAGAGAAAAAAACAAACATATATTAACACATATATATGGAATCTAGAAAGATGGTACTGATAAATCTATTTGCAAGGCAGCTATGGAGACATAAACATAAGAGAATGGACTTGTGGACTCTGTGGGGGAAGGAGAGGGTGGGAAAAATTGAGCTAGTAGCACAGAAACCTATATATATTACCATATGTAAAACAGATAGCCAGTGGGAATTTGCTGTATGATACAGCAAGCTCATACCGGTGCTCTGTAATAGGTGGGATGGGGTTGGAGGTGGGAGGGAGGTTCAAGAGGAAGGGGACATATTATACTAATGGCTGATTCATGTCAATGTATGGCAGAAACCAATACAATATTGTAAAGCAATTATCCTCCAATTAAAAATAAATAACCTCAAAAAACTTGATGTATCTCTTCCCTGTGTTCAATGTAGACAGCCCTCTTCTTGTTAATCAGCACCGCTAATACAGCAAAGTTTAAGGATTGAAAATATAAATTCTGTAAGTAAAAAGAGATACTATCTTTCCATCACTTGGGTGTTAGACCATATACGGTGCATCCTTCCTAGGACCATAACACCTTACATTATTGATTCTATATATATATATGTATGTGTGTTTGTATTAACATATTACATATGTATGTATTAGCATGTGTATATATATATATACATACACATATCAGCACATATATTATGACACTAAATGTCAATGTCTGTTAAATGTCAGTCTCTACTGCTGGAATATAAGTGCTTCAGCAGCAGTAGTATCTAGAGCAGCATTGGAAGCTGGAGTTACATTCTTTTGAACAAATGTACAGCCTCTAACAATGTCACCATAACCACTGTATTCATGAACTTACTGCAGCAGCCCAGAGTGGTCAAACAAAGATACTAGTTGGTATATATACAAGAAATATTCTTCCATTTGACTGTTTAGTATCTCCTCTGCACGTAAGTTTTTTGGTGAACCTTAACATGAAGTCTAAAGATCTAAGATCTGGACCTTTTGTGAATACCCCAAGATGTTCATCAACATGCATCATCTCCAAGCATTGGAATGTGGAATTATGTCTTAGTTTCTTTTAGTTCAAGGACCAACCAAATCAACCATCTCCTCTATCTTATAATCACAATATATATAATAAAGCTTTGGTCACTTCTCTTTTCAAACAAAACAAACATCTAAGTTCACTTTTCACATTGGAAAGATTTCCGTTCACTATTCTCCTTCAAGGAATCCTTGAAAGGTATTGCAGCTAATACCAAGTATTTTGCTAACACAGTTTTGTGGCAGGACTTTGTTTAGGTCTCCTCTTTTTCTGATACTTCGTTGTAGAAAATCCAGCATGAGTACATGTACTTATAAGATGAGAGGAATGAGTTCAACAGAAG